GGTAAACTACGTAGATGTTAACAAAATGATATTCTAATTTTTTTTGATTCCCACATAGATAATATTTGATAAATGTTTTGGCCATTTATTTGAAAATAATAACACAATAAATAGCAAATAATTTGTAACAGTAATTATTAAAAATATAAAAGTATTTTAACTAAAAAATATTTAAAAAAATTCGAACCAAATATATAATCAAAAGTTATTTTAAATCAGTAATTGAATATTTATTTTGAAAAAAAAATTATTTCCTTTGTAATATTTTCAATTAAAAAATTGATTAATGTTATTTTCTGTTAGTAATTAAATTTTTTAATTGAATTTTAAAAAGAGTTTGCTTATGAGTGTTGATTCTAATTTTCAATAGAGTTTTAAGTTGTATGTTTAGTTATGAGTTATAACAATTTAAATTAAGTTTTGAAAACTCTTTTTAAAACTCATAACCAAACAAATTTTCTTATTTCACATGTCACATCAAATATTAAAAACTCAATTCAACATTCAACTCAAAACTCAATTGAAAACTCTTTTTAAAATTAACAATTAGATAAATTTTTTACATTCAAGTCATAATTCTAAAACTCATAAATTTAAAATACAACTCTATTTTTAGATCATATTTAAAAAATCCTGCCAAACGCAACCTTATTATTACCAATAGAGGGAATGACAAACACTTCTCACCCTACATTTCTCACCCTTTTATTTTATTTACCATAAGCAGTGTAGTTCGTAATTTATTTAGTGATTTTTTTTTTTTTATAAAATATATGTAAAAACGTAGAAAAATTATGTGACAAATTACACAAATAAACTATTTATTAAAAAACTGTTTGAAATTCACTTTAAAAATGTCAAACTTTTTTATTAAATTTTTTTAAAAGTATTTTAAACATTTTGTTTTGTTACAAAAAAGATCTCAAACACGATATTACACTTTACAAAGAAAATCAATTTTAAGAGTAGAAAACATCGTTGAAATACATATTAGACAGTTATCAAACTAAACAAGGTTATTTGGGATGTTCTAAATAAATATATTTTTTGATTTTTTTATAAAATATGAGTGAGTTTGAAGTGATTTGATAGAGAAGTGATGTGACTTAAATATGATAATGACTTTTTGACTTTTTTAGGACACTCCAAACAAGGCTAAAGAATGTATTATTTTACATATGTTATATAACAATAAAAATAATATTGTCAATCAAGATTAAAAATTAGATAATTTTTAAATTAATGTGACAATCAATTAAGATATGAAAGATAATATTCTATCTCATATATTATTTAATCATCAATCAATTATATCACTTACATATTATTAAATTTAAAAAGGATAAATTAGAAATACATCCCCAAAGTTGGATTAAAATATGAATCATCCCCTGTAGTTCTAGAAATTACATTCCATCCCTTGAAATTTCTAATTTCATAATAAATCATTAAGTCAATTAACAGTTTTTAATGATGTAACAAATGTGTTTCAATTAATAATTTAGATAATTTTATTATTGTATAAGAAAATAATTGTGAATTTTATTTTTTTAGTTAATTCTGTTAAATAAAAAATTCTGACAATGAGGTATTTATAATTTTCTAAATGACAGGGAATAATCTGTATTTCAAACAAATTTCAGAAAGTGTATTTGCAATTTGCCTTTTAAAAAAGGATGAATTACGCTAATCAACCGCGCTGCATACCCCCAGTGGGGGTCGCGCCCCCACTGGCTGAAAACTTAAAAAAAAAAAAAAAAAAAAAAAAAAGTTTTTTTTTTTTGGACCAATCCGGGGCCGACACCTCACTGGGGGTTGACCCCCTGTGGGGGTAGGAAGCATTAATCTTACGCTAATGGTCTCTATAGTTTGGAACTTGTGTCACTTTGGTCTCTAACTTTCAATTGTGACATATTTGACCTTGAATTTTGAATCTTGTTTCAAATAAGGACAATTGAAGATACCATTTCTTAATTTCAAGGGAAAAATCGTCAATTTAATAAAATATAAACTAATTTGACAAAAATAAATGTCAAAAAAATATTTTGAAATTTTAAAAATTATTTTTACACACTAAACATAAAATTATGTAAAATTGATAAATCTCTTAGACATTTATTTATTTATTTTTTACTAAATTAATTTTTATTATATGTTTAGATGATGATTATGTGATGGGTAGTTATTTTTTTATTTTCATTAAATTAGTTTCTGTTTTTCCAAAAGTCAAATATGATGACAATTTTGATATCATTATTAAATCAATCCATGAAATCAAAAAATCAAAAACAAAAAATATTTCATATATTAAATATATCGATTATACATTAAAATCCTAACAATCACCTATTACATGATCATCATCTAAACACATAATAAAAATTAATTTGATAAAAAAATAAATAAATGTCTAAAAGATTTATCAATTTTACATAATTTTACCTTTGGTTAATAGAAATAATTTTTAAAAATTTAAAAATATTTTTTTGACATTTATTTTTGTCAAATTAGTTTATATTTTATCAAATTGACAATTTTATCTTTGAAATTAAGTAATAGTATCTTCAATTGTCTATATTTGGAACAAGATTCAAAATTTAACATCAAATGTGTCACGATTAAAAAGTCAAAAATCAAAATGACATAATCTCCACACTATAGAGAGCGTTAATATAATCCGTCATTTAAAAAATAAGTTTAGAGAATGAATTTATATATCATTTTTTTAATTAAAATAAAATAGGGAGGTCAGTATTGGGATAGAAACAGAGGGCTCTCAATAAAAGGGTCACGAGATTGGTATTTGTACCTGCCAATTCCTGCCGGTCTTCTTCTACTTCTTCTTTCACAATAATTGTGAGGCATATATGTACCAAAAATCAAACACCACACCCACACATACACACGCATACAAAGAAAATTACAAACAAAACGAAAAAAGGGAGATTGATGGAAACTCTATCACGTTTTCTCGTCCACCAAACATTATTCGGATGTTTCTTTGTCGGCATTTGATAGTTCCCTTCCCTTCTTCTGGGTTCTCTCTCCACCATTTTGACTAATCAAACCCTATATATACATATAAATTAGGAAAACATTATGGCGTAAAGAGTGTGTATCATATGTATTTTATAGTTAAAAAAATAATATAATTTTAATTTTTTAAGTCATAATTAAAAAAATTATAATTAATGTAATATTAGATATAACTAAAGAATTAATTAATCATAATTAAAATAATATCACAACTAAAAAAAATAATTAATTATAACAAAAAAAATGACATAACTAAAAATATATATGATACACATTTTTAAAATAAATTTATATTAAAATTTTCCTATAAATTACTCTCACAAACCCCAACCTCACCCAACCCATCCTAACCTAACTCGACACGAGAAGAGAGAGAAAACATGCAAAGCTCGACCTTTTTGACTCACTCAAATCAAATGAAAGTCTTCTTCTTCGTCAATTACTGTTTGGTTCTCATTTTTTAAAAACAGTTTTACACTCTTATTTTTTTATATTTTTTGTTTTTATTGAATTTTTTAAATATTTTATGCAATTTTTTTACTTTTTAGACACACCTAACATAAATATATCTAAACAGTAAAAAAATTGTAAAAAAAATCTTTTAAAAATTCACTAAATACCAAAAATACAAAAAAATACAAGAATTTAGTATATTTTTTGTATTTTTTTGTATTTCTTAATTTTTTAAAATATTTTTTCACAATTTTTTTACTTTTTAGACACATCTAAGTAAGGTACATCTAAAAAAGTAAAAAAAAAATGTTTAAAATTTTAAAAATATTCACTAAAAACAAAAAAAACACGAAAATAAAAAAACTCAATTTTAAAAAAACTTAATCCAAAAAACTCAAACCAAACACAATGTATTCTCAAAATACGCTCATATATTTATCATATTCTTTTATATTTCTTAATAACTCATCATAATAATATAAAATTATATTTTATTTATTCATCATAATACTTTAAAACACCATGTAATCATGTTTTAAAAAAACCCATCAAAACAAACCTAAATAAATGAATAGTCATTAGATCAAATGGTCATCATCAGATTAGATGCCGTCCCTCTGGCCAAGTTTGGCTACTACAAAATAATTCATTTTTTTATCTTTTTTTCATCATATCACTTTTCTACTTTTCTGCACATCTTTTCGTAAAAAGACAAAAAATACACTTATTTAGGTCATCCCAAATAACCCCTCTTTTTTCAACTTTCAATTGTAACATTCCTGATTGCTTCTTCTATAAGGCCTCGTTTGGAAACATGCTAATTTAGTAACTTTTTGACTATTTAGCTATTTGGCTAGAAAGGTAGGTAAAAAAAACTTGTATGTTTAGAATGACTTTTTGACTAATTACAAAAAGATGTGCAAAAAGTAAAGAGAAATTTTTTTTTTGACTTTTTGCTATGAGTTATTAACTTTTTGACTAATTTAATAACTTTTTTATTAATTAGCTAAAAAAGTAAGTCCCCAAACGGGACCTAAGATGCACTAACAGTTTAATTATTTTTTAAAAAATAGTATAGTCTAAAATAATTATACTTGCACTTTAATAGAGAATGCATAATTTTTTCAAGTTAGTTAATATTTCAACCAAATCCTTCAAAAAAGTAAATTATTTTTTTATCTTTAATAAACTTTTTCAAAAAAAAAAAAAAATCAAATTTTTATAATTTTTCAGATATTCTAGACAGAAAAAGTTTTTAAAAAATTCAAAATTGAAAAAATTCATTAAAGATAAATAAACCCAAAAAAAACCACAACCAAAAATACTGAAGCAAAAGAAAGCTGGGATAAAAGTAACTCAAAATAAATATAAAAAATTGATTATGGATCCTTAATGTCTAGTTAACTATCAACCTAAAGCAATAGAAGCGAATACAGAAATTCACACATCTAATGGGTGATGCTCCTTGCTTCTCATCTACTTCTTGGAAAAGAAAAGAAAAGAAAAGAAAAGAAAAGAAAATTCAATTTAAGTATTTATACCTATCAAATCAGCAATAAGAGAAAAGCCAGCAGAGAGAAATGCAAGTCAATGTTACACTTCAATCATATTCTTTGTCCCTATGAATAAATAAAACATGGAAGAGTAGGTCATCTCTACTATCTACCACATTGACAAACTGGTAATGTAAAGGGTGTGTGTGGGTCACTCTTAACCTATGGCCAGGTTCTCAGAATACAAGCAAAAAATTCAAGGTAGTGAAGAAACTTGCCTCAGAACCCATAATACCATATGATAAAGATCCATCAGGACAGCCTTGATGACACGAAAATTCAGTATCTAGATTAGGACTATCGGAAAAGAGACGCATCAACCACTTCAACGTTTAAAATGTTCTTTGATGAATCTGTCCGCGTGAGATGGGTACTTATGCTGAATGTATGCTCGAAGACACTTTTGGTAGGAGAAGTCTATCCATCCACCATCGGTTCTTACAACAAACAGGCACCTTGAGCGTCTAAACTGAGGATGCCGATCAACCTTCACCAAACATAAAATTTAGGACCCGGTTAGGCCAACTAAACACACAGCATCCATGCAGATAAATTTTTCGGGAAAAGTTACTACAGCCTAATTTGATACAACTAAAGCTCTGTTTGGATAGATGGATTGCAAATGAAGAAATTTCAGGTTAAAACTTGGTAAAATAAAGGAGAGTTGGCTATTATAGAGAGATTGTGAAACTAAAAGGGCAGAAAGAGAACAGTAAGAAGAGAGTATTTTAATATGAACTTTCTACAACTATAATTCTTAGCATGAAAGATTAGAAATAACTACTTTTATATTGTTAATTCAATTCATATGGTAAAACTCTCAAATTCAGTTTTGAAACCCATATCCAGAAATGAGCTATCATATCCAGAAATGAGCTATATTCCCTCCGAGTGATTTAGGACTCAAATCCTTTCATTTCAAATTCATCAATACACAACCTCCTAAAAAATATAGGACAAAGTAATTAGTTGGTATCAATTCAAGATGCCATCCATATTCACAACAGGCCAATGGGAGAAGAGAAGAAAGAAAATAAGTATTTTAAAAAATAGAGAGAGGATTCTATTTATCATAAGGCCAGGGGTGACATTGATCAAATAAGTTCTATCCATTCATCTACATGCCCAAGAATGTGGGCCTTGCATCCAACCAGGATTGGTGAGCTACATAGAAAAACTGGAAACTATTATTGACTAAAAACATGGTCCTAGATAAAACAGACTGCTAACAAGGAGTTGAGGATTAGGTACGCCAAAGAGTTGGGAAATGTTCATCAAGTTAGTAGCTAGTTGTTCTGTTTTTGGACAATCCAAAGGAGACACTTGAGAAGAAGAAAATGTAATTTTCAGCCTTGAACAATTAGATTAGAGAAACCTCCAAAACATTATACAAATGTGTAACTCACCATAATGGAATCCAGCCCGCATCCAATTTTATCTTCAGAATGCGGATGATAAGCAAGAAGCTTTTCTACCACTGATTTCTCATCTTCAGCTGTGAGACGTTCACCATCCATATACCTGGCAGAAAATTTTTATCAATCAGACTCCTGAGCATTTGACAGTCCATGAAGATAGAGGACATGAAACAATAATAAAATAGAGCTTCAGCAGCAGATGGGGTATACATTACCCTCAGGAGCACATATCTAAATAAACATGCAACCTCTACATTATTTATATTGTGTAAATTTACACCACCTCATTTCATGGCTCAATATATCCAACCTTAGCTAATTGTGTTTTAAAAACAATTTGTTCTGGAAATACTTATGCACCTTTCCAACAAACATTCAAAACCATTTAACGTCTCCGGAGTATTCACATATCATTCTACACTTCCACTTAACAATTAGCTACACATGTATGCAAACGCATGAGAACATACGCCCCTATTTTGGGTTGCCGTGGGGTGGTGGAGTAAAAATTTGCAGTTATATATGCATTTTTAGGTATATAAAGTCCAAATAACATGAATAAGCAGGATTCATGAGCATTCTACAGGTTTTAATGACTCTGGAGTATTCAGATATCATTCTACAAAACAATTATGCAAACGCAGAACACACACCCTTATTTTGGGGTGGGGTGGGGTGGCGGAGTAGTAAAAATTTGCAGTTATATATGCAATTTTTGGTATATAAAGTATAAAGTCCAAATAACATGATATAGCAGGACTCATGAGCATTTTACACGTATTAACGTCTCTGGAGTATTCAGATATCATTCTATACTTCCTCTTAACAATTAGCTACACACGTATGCAAAACGCATAAGAAAATGCACCCCTATTTTGGGGTAGGGTGGGGGTGGGGTGGGGTAGCGGAGGAGTAAAACTTTGCAGTTATATATGCAATTTTTGGTATATAAAGTCCAAATGACATGATTAAGCAGGACTCACGAGCATTCTACAGGTAGCTACTAGTTAAAATCTTGACATATATTAGATTCAAGCTCATGAATATGTAAAATTGATCAGAAAGTCAAATCTATGAATTCTTCAAATTAAGAAGATGAACCAAAGAAAATGAAGAAATCACCATATTAACTTACTCGTATTACAAAAAACTTGTGCATTTAACAACTGACGCTTCTACCCAACAGACTTTGCCAGCCCAGGCTAGCAGCTTCTGAAATAATGTAATAGTCCTCCAAAGTTCAAAGTCTTCCATGCAGGACTAAGTTAAAATTCTTAAAGTGAAAGCAAACAGGAGAATGAAAACCTCTTTAGTGCAAGATATTTTATGCATTGTGCAAATTGATTATACAAATTCATTGCAAGCAGTAAATTAATGACAAAGCTTGTGGAGTCTAAGGATTGATTGTACCAAGCAATACTAATTCTATAGCATGTTTAATTCATGAGAAAACTTCACTTAAAACTCTAGGGATATAATTATGTTGAGTTCAATAAAGATCAAAAAGCAAGGTCATAGGAAAATCGGCATTGTGAGGAGCTTCATTTACATAGCTGCTATGATAAAATTTAGGGCAGCATTCATTTATGTTCAAACACAATTGATTATCTGAGTTTGAATCCTCACTTTCCGTACAGCAGATAATGAACTGGAAGGAGAATAGAAGTTCTTCTTCAGTTAATTGGAGGCTAGAGTTCAAAGGACTGTCCGAGCACATCACCTCACCCTCGAGGAGGGGACTGCTTGAACCAATCTTAAGAAGAGAGGGACCTTGACCAAGATGTGACATCTCAATGATACTATCAAACTATCTCTGAGCCAATCTGGCATGCCCAAAATTTATGTATCATGCCTACCCTCTGTCCACATATGATACGTCCCCCAAGGCCTGTTAGAGGTTGAAAATTTGCCCAGATTTCCTCCGTTTTGCCTAGTAAAAAGAGTTGATCCACTTGTCCATAGCTGAGTTGGCTCAACCTGGCTTAACTCCCTACATAAAGGAGGTTCACCCTACACACAAAGACAAATACTACGTCCCCCGTGCTCCTCCGGCATTCAAGCTCTCCACTATCAACCAAGGTTATCCTTGACTCTCCTCTCCCACCTCCGATGGTCTTAGCCATATCAGTTTCTGCCATCTTTCAGAAGGCATTGTACAGCCATCTCAGTTTTGTTTTCATGCTACCCTACATTAGACTAGGACAAAAAAGTATGAAACTTTAAAACTTTTGTTCAAAAATAGGACCAATCACAATAAATAAAAATTTTAATTGAACTAAATAACTCATGATTTAGGATTGAGCAGTGCCACCATTTACAATTCGTCGGGATTTCTAGGTTCAAACTGTGAGAATATATTGTATATATGGCATGTTGTGTATATATGGCATTAGTTTGTAAATAGAAATTAGTTTGTATTTCCTTTTTCAATCATAGATTTAGGGCTATATAAACCGATGAACTCTTTGTAAATTACATATTTGAATATACAGTTCTTATTCGGAAAACTTACATGGTATAAGAGTCGTGTCCGAAACCCTAGTTCTCACCTCTGATTGGTTTGAAGTTCTTCCTTCGATTTGAAGGTTCCTCTGCCGCGTCAGGTTCTTTACAACTCTTCTGATCTCGAAATGTGTTTGATTCGAGGCCTGTATGTGACCATCAGCATCAAGTTTTCTCGCCGGAATCGCAATGTTGTCTCTTGTGACTTGGTCTCTTGAGTGTTGCGACCCGTCTATCCTTGCATCGCGACCTATCAGCTACATCATCGTGACCCATCGTCGCATCGTCTGCTTCACCGGTCTGGTTCGAAACCCTAACCGCCTGCTTCATTCCTGTCCTAGTTCGATCGACTCATTTTGGTTCGATCAAAGTCATGGCTCGTCAACTCACATCTGGTTTGCTTCACGACTTCGACTTAGAATCCGAAAGTTGAATTCAATTTTGATCTCTGCTTTTGCTTGCCATCGATTTTGGTCTCTGATTTTGATCTCTGGTTCGCTGTGACCTTTCTCCCTATTCGTGACCCATCTGGTTCCTCACATCAGTGCTTCATGACTTTTTGTTAACTCGTTTGGCTGGTCTGGTGCTCTCCCTCTCACTGTCACTGACCATCTGATATCATTCTATTTGATTTATTAAAGTTTGATCCCTCACATTTGTTAAAATTTGATCATCTGGTTATTATGATGTCTCTAGCTTTTAATGAGTGTGCCTTCTGTCATCAAAGGGACCATTGGAAATATTACTGTCCCAAGAAAGGATGTCTGCCTGCCTCATCTTCTTAGCAGTCTCGGACCCAGTTTTGCGCCCCTTATACTGCATATACCACGACTTTTGATCCTGACTTGGTTTCTTTGAGTGCTCAGATTAATTAGCTTCAGTATATATTGTTTGCCTCCCAACCATCCCCATCTGCTTCCATTGTTTCCTCTCTTCATTCAGGTTTGCTTGGGTCTTCTTCAGGTATTTCTTCGTTTGTCTGGATTTTTGACTCTGGTGCCTCTCATCATGTAACTCCCTCATCTCTCCTTACTTCAAAATTGTACTCCTCCTTCCTTTCCTATTACTATCAATACTGTTAATGGATTTGGTATGTTTGTTATATCTGTTGCGTCTGTCCTACCATCTGCTATGTCTATTGTCTCTATTCCATCTGTCTTTTATGTTTCTTAGTTATCTGTCAGTTTATTATCTATCAGTCAACTTGATGCCTCTGGTTTTAATATTATTTTTTCTTCTTCTATCTGTTTTATATAAGATCGGATGTCTAAGCAGCAGATTGGGACCGGTCGTAGAGTTGGAGACTTCTATGTAGTGGAGAGCTTGCATCTGTCTATGGCAACCTCTCAAACTGTCATTTCTTTTTCAGTTAGATTCTTTGTGTAGTCCTTTCTACTTGTGGCATTCTAGATTAGGGCATTTGTCTGCTGATCGCTTACGGTCTTTAACTCAGTCAGGTATATTTAGTAAAGTTTCTCCCAGTGAATTTACTGAATGTCGACGGTATAAACTTGCCAAATGACAGCCTTACCTTTTCATAAAAGTACTTCTATATCTGATACATCATTTTTTTTAGTTTATATTGATGTTTGGGGCCCTTCTCCTATTCTCACCAAAGGGGATTCTGCATACTATATGTCTTTTGTTGATGATTGTACCCGTTACACTTGGGTTTATCTTATGACTCATAAGTTTGACTTCTATCAGATATACTGTATTTTCCAATCTATGGTCACTACACAGTTTGGGTCTACTATTAAATTGTTGCGGTCTGACTTGAGTGGAGAATATTTTAAAACTGAATTTTGTGAATACTTGGCTAAATTGGGTACCATTCACCAAACTTTTTGTACTGATACACTTGCCCAAAATGGTCGAGCTGAGTGTAAACACCGTCATCTTCTTGAGACAACTAGGTCTCTCCTCTCTGCCTCTGTTTCGGCTCCGTTTTGGGGTGAAACAGTTCTTTCTGCTGCTTTTCTTCTCAACCGTATACCTACCCCCTTCTTTCTGGTCAGTCTCCTTATGAGGCTCTGTTTTCCCAACTTCCTAATTACTCCCTCCTTCGTGTATTTGGGTCTACTTGTTTTGTCCTTTTACCCCGTAAAGATAGGATCAAACTTAGTGCCCGGTCTATCCTATGTATCTTTTTGGGCTATAGACTCACTCAGAAAGGTTATCGCTATTATGACCTTACTTCCCGTCGCCTTTATATCTCCCGTCATGTTGCCTTTCTCGAATGTCTACCTTACTTTCAGCTTCCTCCTCTCACCGCTTTAGTTTTCAAAGAGGATTTGATTCATATTGATCCCTTCTGAGGTCCCGTTTGATGAGTACATCTCCACTGTCCCTCCTGAGCTTGTTCCATCTTCTCCTTCTGCTTCACCTCTGGTTGCTTCTCCTCCTTCGGCTTCTTCTCCTCATCCGTTGTTAGATTATTCTCGTCGCAAGGCTTCTCTTCCACCAGTTGTTTGTACCCCTGTTACTGATCCTCCTGCTTCTAACGGCTCTAATCCTGCTGCACACCGATATCCTACTCGTGAGTGTCGTCCTCCAAACAGGTTGGTTTGCTCTAATACAAGTTTTTCTGCTTCCATCATACTTTTTGTCTGTTATTCATTCTTTTTCAAAACTTCAATCTTACACGGAATCTTGTCAGGATCCTAATTGGGTTCAAGCTATGGAGGATGAATTGTTTGCCTTGCAAAAGGCTAACACTTGGGAGTTGGTTCCTTTACCTGCTGGCAAGAATCTGGTTGATTGCAAACAGGTGTATAAAGTCAAGACTTATTCTGATGGTTCTCTCGAGCGATACAAAGCTCGCTTGGTTGCTAAGGGTTTCTCGTAGGAGTATGGTATTGATTATGAGGAGACATTTGCCCCTGTTGCCAAGATGACTGTTGTCCGTACCTTGATTTCTGTTGTTGCTGTTCGATATTGGCCTCTCTATCAGATGGACGTTAAGAATGTTTTTCTTAATGGTCACCTCACTGAGAAGGTCTACATGCGTTCTTCTCCTGGCCTTCTACACTCCTCTGGGCAGGTTTGTCATCTTCGGGGTGCTCTGTATGGTTTGAAGTAATCTCCTCGTACTTGGTATGATTGCTTTCAGACTGCTGTTACCGAGTTTGGATTTCATCATTCTGCTTCCAACTCTGCTTTGTTTTTGATACATACCTCAGTTGGTTTTGTTGCTTTCTTACTCTATGTGAATGATATGATCATTACTGGCTCTAACTCTTCTGCTATCTCTGAGGTCAAGCAACATCTCTTCCGTACCTTCGAAATGAAGGATTTGGGTCCATTGCGGTATTTTCTTAATATTGAAGTTGCCTTTTCTCCAAAAGACTATTTTCAGTCTCAGGCCAAGTATGCTAATGAGGTTATTCACCGTGACTGATATTAAGGTTTCTAATACCCCTATTGAGCTTAATGTGAAGTTCAACTCTATTGATAGTGTCCCTTTGGATGATCCCACTTTCTATCGCGAGCTTGTGGATTGTTTAGTTTATTTGACTGTCACTCACCCTGATCTTGCTTACGCTGTTCATATAGTTAGTTAGTTCGTTTCAGCTCCTCACTCTACCCATTGGGCTGCTTTGATTCGCATTCTTTGCTTTCTCCGAGGTACCATCTTTCAGGGCTTACTATTATCCTCTACTTCTTCTTTAGACTTGATGGCCTATGCTGATTCCGATTGGGCTAGTGATGTTAATGATCGTAAGTCCACCTCTGATTTCTGTATATTTTTTGGCGATTCCTTGATCTCTTGGAAAAGCAAGAAACAAATTGTTGTTGCTCGCTCTACTGCCGAAACTAAATACCGTGTTATAGCTCATGCTACTGCTGAGCTTGTTTGGCTTCATTGTCTTCTCTTTGATTTGAGTGTACCTCAGTCTTCTCCGCCCTCTCTTTATTGTGACAACCGTAGTGCTATTCAGATTGCCCACAATACTGTTTTCCATGAATGGGCGAAACACATTAAGATTGATTGTCACTTTGTCCGACAGCATCTACAATCTGGCTCTATCTCGCTTCTTTTCGTCTCCTCGGCTTTGCAACTTGCGGACTTCTTCACCAAGACTCACACTACCGCTCGGTTTCAGTTTCTTTTTAGCAAACTCTTGATGTTTTCTGCTAAAACATCTTGAGTTTGAACGGAAGTTTAAGAATATATTGTATATATGCCATGTTGTATATATATGGCATTAGTTTATAAATAGGAATTAGTTTGTATTTCCTTTTTCAGTTATAGATTTAGGGCTATATAAACTGATGAACTCTTTGTAAATTACACATTTGAACATACAGTTCTTATTTGGAAAACTTACACAAACAACTTATGCTCCTCTCCGTATAAATATCAGAAAAGCATTAAATTGCCAATGGTATTTCCACATAATATTATGCCCAAGTGTAATTCATTATTTTCTGCTCTGTGTGACATTTAGCAACATGTAGCAGACTAGCCATTGCAAAAATCTAGTTCATGACAAGCTAGCAAAGAAATGATTATTACATTCAAATACCATTCGCATTCTACTAAAATTTGAAATGACAAAAATGCATGTTTACTGGGATCCAAAGTTGAATGCCTTCTCCATCAAACTTGAATTAAAGAATTGGTGAAATGAAAAACTTCGGTTTCAAGTTAAGAGAACATTTCTACTACAATTGATAATACTTAAGCTTGCCTTAAGGTCTAGTGTTTAGCTCTCCAAGTATTTATACAAGTCTGGTGCCTTCTCCCTCTTGCCTTCTGATCTAAAACTTTGTGGCAGGCAGAGTAATACTCTGCCTCTCAGCAGTAACTAAACCTATGAACACTCCAAATAATGCAATATCTCCAGTTTAATTGATATTCCACAAATACGTTGAAATTCCGCTCTTGGAACCAAATCTTTGTGGTTCAGTATTGTTTTTGCTATCGTTTGTTCTTTATGGCTAGAGAGTAATGCAAGGATCTTCGAAGGAAATAAGTCAAATGTTGAATCATTATGGTATAGGACGGGATATTTGACTTCACTTTGGGCTTATGTGTCTCGTCCTTTTAAAGGAGTTCCATTTTTATTGATTTCTAGGGAATGGGCCACTGGTTGCCATCCTTAGTGTTTTGGTTTTTCTTGTTTTGTGACCTTTTGTTTTGTCATTTTACATTGTTCGAGGACTCCTTATCCTCTTTTATTTTCTAGCTTATGCTTAATAATATTCTTCATTGCTTTTCAAAAAAAAAAAGAGAATGGTGTCTTTTCACATGTTGGATGTTAAACTATCAAACTCGAAGTATAGAGTGTAAAGGAACACATGTTTACTTCAACAAGTCCCTTACAACTTTGCAACCTAATATAGAATCTTCACCCTTCTGATGTGTATATGCTATAAACTCCTCTTTGAAAATTGACTCCCAAGGGAGGGTTCCCAAGAGCTTATGTTCACATGGCCAAGCCCATTACTAACTGATGTATAAATATAAAATACCACCACGGTCACGTCATACAAAAGGGTGCCCAAGATTGTGTATGATAGTAACATACCACCATGCCCGGCTTGAAAAGGAGGGGTTCCCAAAAGCTTATATTGGAATAACAAAGCCCATTGTCAACTAATGTATGATTATAACATACCACCACGCTCTGCAAGCCACCCACTCTATCGACACTAACCCGTTGATAACCTTTTCTGTTTCGGAAGCTTCACTCACCTATCATTATTCAACACAATATCCAATCCTATAATTGCATAGGCTGCGTTCGCAAAGGGACGATGCCCAATAACTTATATTGACACGGCAGCTTGCGTATTGGCAATGAACACAATAATACTATGAATTCAAACCTGCCTATAGACCACCCCCTTCTAAACCCGAGTTTCTCAATTTGCACAAAGAATATGTAAACTTGCACTACACAGGTTTTCCCCAATTAGCTTTCTAACTACTTACTTTCCATTTGTACCTCAGAAATAATTAATTATCTATGTAAATTTTCCCCAGAAACTACTAGAAGGCTCGATTGCGAATTTCACAGATTGATAAATTGTTTGGGGGAAGAGATTGTGAACCTGTCGGAGTGTAGAATTTCTTTGGTGAGGAAAGTGATGGGTTCGATGTCTCTCATGATCTCATCTTCTTTGTCTTTCCACTTTCGGAAGTCAGGATCGTCCCACCTAGGGTATTTCGGAGAATCTTTGGTGCTCAAGGCTCTGGTGCTTTGGCCCGAGCAGGAAACGTCATCGTCGGGGCTAGTCGACTCGGCGGTGGCGGAGCAGAGTCGAATCGTCAATATACCGGAGGCGAACCGGTGGTGCTGGTGGAATCGGAGACGGAGAAGCGGAAACCCTCTGAGAAGCAGCGGAGCTGCCATTTGTGTTTGTGTGATTTTTTGTCTTGCTTTGCCTAGGAGCTCTTCGATGATTAGATAATTGTAAAGGGTAAATTACACAATTTGTGAGTTTTATTATTATAAATAGTATAATTCAATATTATAATTAAGAAATTATAATTTAAAGGAAAATTATTTATAAGTTATATTAGGGAAATTTATGTCATATATAGTCTTACTAAAAAATTTATGTTTCCATAAGTCCTGTGAGATGTTTGTTGATATATTTACCCTTAATATTAGTTGTTAATATCATAAATAATAGTAAAATCATATATAGGAAATTGAATGTTACCATAAATCATATCTATATAAACGTAACGTAACGTGACACCTACATCAACGTAACGTGACACCTATGATCTATGGCAACATTCAATTTCCTATATAGAAAATTGAATGTTGCCATAGATCATATCTATATAAACGTAACATAACGTGACACCTACATAAACGTAACGTGACACCTATGATCTATAGAAACATTCAATACACCAACATAAACCAGCAACATTTTCACATTCAATTTAAAAAAATAAAAACTCATTAAGTTTGCAAAACGTAATATGTAGGTGTCACGTTACGTATAAGTGTCACGTTATGTTTATATAGGTGTCACGTTACGTTACGTTTATGTAGGTGTCACGTTACGTTATGTTTATGTAAGTGTCACGTTACGTTATGTTTATAGGATCTTGTGGAATACATTCTTATCTAAATAGAACTTGAGACTCTATAAAAAATTACACAGGACTTAGCCTAGTATAAGTGTTTGAAAAAAGACTTATAAATAAGTCTCCCTATAATCAAATATTAATAAAGAATTCTTGAGTAAATTACACAATTTGTGAGTTTAATTATTACAAATAGTATAATTTAATATTATAATTAAAAAATTATAATCAAATATTAATAAAGAATTCTTGAATTATAATCAACAAAAATGCTAGACACTCCAAAAATTTTACTAAAATTTTATCAAATGTCTCATTGTTGGCTGTATAAATTCCAAAAGTCAATCGCAGAGTGACACGTGGCACCTAAAGGGCAATTTGGGGAATCAAAGCAAGTCTCCAATCAAAGACAGACACGTGACAGTTCATATTGGTAGTATCGGATCTGCGTGGCATCTGAATAGTCAAGAGGCGCTAGATGACATAGCCTAATGGTTAACTACAATTCAAATTCAAATTCAGAAAGAAAGCCTAATTGCAAAAGAGGCGTAGTGGGGGCTAGTTGAACGAAGCCATGACCAGAGATCGTGGAAACGTATTTCGACGGTTAGAATGCCACTTTGACGGTTATCACTAAAGAGTATAAATAGAAGAGAGGGCTAAACAGAAGAGGACCCAGACTCAGATCAAGAAACCAGTTTATTTTACTTCATTTCCTTTCCGGTTTCACATTTTCCAGTTCTTTACATTTCCAGCACCTCAATTCTTGTATTGCATTTCAATTCCTAGGAGTAGTTTTTCAGTTGATTGTTGCTGTGAATCTCGTCAAGGCTGGGTCATTATAACTTCATTGTAAGTTTTCATTTTCTTAATGAAATTCAATTTTTGAATTATATTTACGTGCTACTATTCATAATTTTCTCCTAAAACAAGCCACCAGTAAAAGTTCTCTTCATTGAGGTTAAAAGAACTTCAACACAATTGCTTGATAATTGGTTGGCAATTATAACTTCTGTAAGAACTAATTAATTATTGCAGATACGCTTAAATTTACATTATTAACCTTCGAAAGCCAAAATAGCCAACATATATTTTTGGCATGCCCAGTGGAACTATTAAAAATGGCTAGACATAGAGCAAGAGGAGAAAATGAACGCCTAGAAGAGGGTGGGGAAGGAGAGGTAGAAATACCTAACCCAGAAGACAATGTGATGGATGCACCTATCCCATTAGATCCTCCGTAAATGGTCAAACAGACCAGCGCTTCAGAATATACACCACATGTCCAACACGCTAGACAGGGCCATGAGACTGGACCTTCGAATGTTCCTTCTACCTATCCACCGAATCTGTGGGGAGGTTTAATAGATGCTATGGGACAACAACTAATGTATACAATGAAAAGATGGGCAACATCCTTTCTGGATCGAATGAATTCTCATTAACCAACTACTGTAAGACAAATTGAAGAAAATATAAATAGTCCTTAGCAACGATTGGCTCGAGATAAACAGCTTATGCAAAATAATGGACAAGTCAATGGTCAAACTAGTAGTCACAACCATGAGAGGCCAGCACCTGTGCCTCAATCATGGTATGAAACTCTTTCAAGACCAATGGCCACTCAGAATACACCATTCTCTACCAGTGAAACCATATAATTTAGTGGCATAAGGGCATTTCCAAATCCTATGTTTGAGAACATGCCTGGCACAACGGGTTTCACCAACCCAGTGTTTGAGTTTGCAGTCGAGGGGTTGGAAGGATTTCCTACAATTGGAAAAGAAGCAACACATACTTCTCCTCTTGCGGTACCTTCCGCAAGACCTTTCGTATGACAGGCACCAAGAGGTTAGCCATACCTTCAACAACAACAAGTACAACAGGGACAACCAGCCCTGAATGTACCCATACATGGACCAAGAGGCCCACAAGCACATGATGTTCCTTCAAGCCCTATGTTTGTTCCCCCAATAATGGTTCAACCATCACAAAATATGGTTCAAAGGGACCAAATTGTTGATATAGTTAAAGAAATGTGTGGACCTATGGCTTGGGGGGGGGTCTAGACACCAGTATATAGAAAACCTTACCCAGAGTTGATAGATAGGGTACACAAGTATCCTAGGGGGTTTAGAATAGCAGACTTTGCCCTCTTTTATGGTAATAAAAATCAATCAACAGTGGAACATATTGCTAGGTTTATAAGCCAGTGTGGTGAGTTTGCTAATAATGATTACATCAAACTGAAACTTTTTCCAAGTTCTCTAACTGGAGCAACCTTCGTATGGTACATAAACCTTACTCCTGGCTCTATTCAAACTTGGCAGCAAATAAAAGAAGTTTTTCATGCCCAATTTTTCCAGATAGAACCTGAAGTTTCTATGGCAGACTTGGCAAACAAAGGCCTAATGAGAAGGCGACTCAGTTTACTGCCAGATTTAAAAGGACACGGAACAAATGCAGGGTCATGTTACCAGAGCCTGAATTTGTAAGATTGGCTCAGAATGGCTTAGAATTTAGGCTTCGAAAGAAGTTTGATTCAACTGAGTTTCGAGACTTAGTAGAGTTAACCTATAAGGTGTTTAGATATGAAACTTTACTCGAGGAAGAACAAAATAGAAGTAATGCATCATATAAGACCTATTATAGGGACCCTAATTATGAAATTGACAACAAAGATAGTAGGAAAAGAACCTATGACTTGTGAGACATTAATTCAGAAAGACAGTATAATAGACCAGTAGTTCAAAAAGAAAGACCTACATAAAAAGTATTCTTTTGACTTAACAAAAGCATATGACATTTTTGATCATTTGCTTGCAACAAATTTCCTAAAGTTACTAAATGGAGTCAAAATTCCTACTCTTGAAGAGCTTAAACGAAAACTATACTGTAAATGACATAATTCTTGGTCTCATTCTGTTAGAAAATTTGAATTAAATTTACTTCAATGATTACGTCTCTTGAGATGGAAGGGTGTGTCCTTTTGAAGGGTCATAATCTTTCTAAAGAGTTATGGAAGAATCTATAAATTCCATTCCCCTCACTTCAATTTGAATAGAGAATTGTCATTTCTTCTTCACTTTGCATTTATTCTTCATATTTCCTGAGTCTAATTTTCCTAGAAAGAGAGTACATGCATAGCGAAGTTCATTAGGCTTACAATAGTAATGCTGCTAGTGTAACACATTGATCATTGTATCTTGGGAGATAGACGTCCATTGAATCCTAAGCATCGGTGGGAGGACGAATCTGTCTTAAGGAAAGAGTGGAGTGTCGCACACTCGACTCGATCGGGTTTTATTTATTTATGTACTGTAAGTTTTGTTATGTTATTATGTCAATTTATTTCAGTTTTGGTTTTGCCCAAAAATCGTTTACATATTTTTAAACTATATTTTCCATATAGTTTGGTACTATTTTTCTAACACATTCAACTAAAAACTATATTGTTTTTTGAGATAAGATCCAAGAATAGATTCGGAAGGGGAGGCTAACACTATCCTGTTTCCAGAAATTAGAGAGGCTACAACCAATGTTGGCATGCCAGATTTCTAAAACCTATCCCTGAAAGAATTGGAAGAAGTCACTGTGTAGATGTATGTGGCTTGCCAGACTGCTCTCAAGAAGAACACAATAAGTTCACCAGCTAATGGACAAAGCTCTGCAGGCATAAAAGAAAGCTTTAGTGAAGAGATGTTGGATGATGACTCTCTCGAAGCTGCTATCGTGCAGAGGATGTGCCCCAGGTACAGGATGTGTTACAAGTGACTGAAAGGGCTCCCAGTTGATGGGAAACAACATTACAAAGAGGTGTAAAGGGACCGAATAACCAGCACTCATAACAAGAGCCCCAAACAACATTTGTCATTGGTAACCCCACCAGACACCAAGATGCAGTCAAAGGGAAATAGGCCTCTATATAAAACTAGGTTACCCAATTATTACAGAGTAGACAACCAGCTTGAAAGGAGGCATGGATTTAGCACAAGACATTGGACCAGGACTGATAATTGGCCCCCAAAGACTTCTTCAAAGAGTAGAGTAGTAGATCCAGTAGCCAGACTAGTGGGCTCATGGGTCCCAGGAGTTCCAGATTGGTTTGTTATACAGAATAAACCTAAGGAGATGTCAACTTAAAGAAAGGTTTTTGGAGACTAGGGAAGAATGATCAAACTTCCCTTGGTGACTCCAAACAACTAGGTGTTATTAAAGAATCCAAAAACAAGGGAGCCAGATGTGGTTTCTATAATTTCTAGGTCCCAAAGAAAGAAGATCCAGCGAAGATACACCCAGTATCAGAAAGATCTGAAAGAAAGTGGAGAGTGCACTTCCATGGCACAAGCAAATGATCAGATAGATGGAGGGATAGGTTCAA